TTGTGCATATTTTTATGCTCCCTTGCCATCCCCAACAGAATGAGCCTCCTGAGGGCAGGGTCAGTGTCACTCCCCATTGCGTTCCGACAGCTGGCATACATACAGCAGGTGCTCAAGCAGGTGCTCAGCCACGTGATGGGCACCGGCGGCCGGGTGAGCCCTGTCTGAGTCACCGGGTCTTACCATCTAGTGGGGGCCTGATGTTCACACTGAGCCGTGCACCTCTGTATCTGAGTCCCTGTGAGTCGGGGATTCCCCAGAGGCGGCCCCCATGCTGCTGTGCAGGTAGCCCCAAGGAGGGGCTGAGCTCAGCTGGGTTCCTGGAAGGCTTTCCTGGAGGGCTGAGAACTGCCGGGGTGGGAATCGGGCAGGGAGAGCACCCCATTCAGAGGCCAGATCATGGGGCAGGATCCAGGCCCCTGCCAAGGAGGCAGGAGGGTGCCCCTGCAGGGCAGCATTTGAGCAGGGAGGTGCTGGGGTAGGTGAGGAGCCCTGCGCCCGAGCGTAACAGGTGGGAGGGGCAGGGCCCATGGGGGTCCACCCCAGCTGCTGCCTCAAGATGCCAGAAACCTGGTGGTTTAGCACCAACAGAACTGATTTCTCGTGGTTCTGGACCTGGGATGCCAAGGTGCCAGCAGGTTGGCGTCTCCTCATAGACAGCTGTCTTTCCTCTGGAACCACAGCTGGGAGAAGGGTCCAGGGAACTCTCCTGGGCCTCACTCATAAGGGCCACCAAGAACTTGAAATCCTGTCTGTAGGTTCCAAGCCACGCGGGTCCCCTAACACCTAGCGACTTTGTTTTCCAACCTGGGTGCAAAACAGAGTTTGGGGACACAGCACACCCTTTGGCTTCATTTGATAGTAAGGAAATAATGTTCTGTGTTTACTTTCTATGTCCAGTTAAAAGAAAAAAGGGGGGACAGTAACTCTGGGGGGCCCATCTCCACGTCCTGAGCACCTCCTAAGGGCCTCGCCTCCCCGTATCACCCCATTGGGGTTTAGGTTTCCGGCATATGAATTTTGGGGGGTAACCAGGCCAGGGCACCCGGTCACCCAGTCGCTGCCGACCCGAGCGCTGCACCTGGAGGTGGCGCCGATGAAACTGTGGTGCGAATGAGGGGTCCCCACACCCCTGCCTCCTCTCAACTCCCAACCCGCTCCCCCCGTTGGTCCTGGCCCAGCCTCCACCCGGCCCACAGCCAGAGACAGGCTGGTGTTCCCAGCCCCGTGGGTGCCGTGACTGCCGCCCGCCACTGTTCACCTTGGGAAAACTGGCAAACACCAGTCAGGGCTGCTGGTTTGGGGCTTTGGCTTTGCTTTGCTTTTTGAGCCTGTGGTACCAGCAAGCCTCACCCAAACCTTCTTTTCCTGAGAGTGCAGCAGGCTCTGCCTCCCTCCCCAACCCCGTCCTCGCAGGGAGTTTTGGTGCCAGGAAGCTTTGGGTTTGGACAGTTCTGGGCTCGTGCGTCCATCTGTTGTGTAGCTGCATGTGGCCTGCAGCACCGGGTGGCTGTAAGGCGAGGCCGGTATGGCCAGGAGGGGGTGGTCTGCCCTGGGTACAGACAGGCCATGGCAGGACGCCTCTAGTGAATTGAAAAGAACAAAAGAAATGACTAAATGTCCTTCTGCGGCTCAGCATCCCCACACACCAGCCGTTGTGAAGACTGGCGGGGTGTGGTCTCCCCACCAGGCAGCTCCGGGACGCAAGGGCGTGTGTGGCATTAGAGAGGCAGGTCACAGTTGTCGCTGCAGCCCTTGAGCCAAGCCGTGGTTCCACTCGGGCCAAGCCGGTCGCTCTCTCCCTCGAACACTCGGGGCTGAGGGCAGCGTGCCTCGGACGGCTGCCTGCACCTTTTCCAGTCTGAGCCCATCGAGAATGCTAACCCAGCTCGAAACAAACCCAGTTCTCCACGAAAGGTAGCCGAGTGTCTCGGTATCCTGCTGCCCACCAAATCCGTGTCTCTCTCAGCAGCAGGGGGTCCACACATCCCCATGGACCGGAGAGACTCACCCTAACCGGGCACCCCAAGAGCGTCAGGTGACACTGAGGCCCCTCCCCCTGTTCCTGGAGCTGATTTGCCCAGAATCTGGGGCTGATCCTTGACACAGGGCATATGGGTGATGTGTTTCTCTGGCGCTTCTTCTTAGCATCTGCTCTGCCTTTAGTACTGGGGTTTCATCGTCAGAGATGGTGGCCAATACATGTGTGGGTGACCGGCCTTAAAAAACTCTTAATTTGGGCCCTCCCTGGTGGCGCAACAGGTTAGGATGCAGCACTGCAAGCTAGCACAGCCACTCAGTGAGAGTTCGATCCCCCACCCCGGAGGTGACCCACATGGCGCAGCAGACCTCTTCTGTCTCACTCACTGCTCCCCTCAGCAGTGAACTTCATCAGTCTGCCTGTTCTGCTCCCCCCTTTGTCTCTGGTGAATCTTCTCACCGCCCCTGCACCTCTGGCCTGTACCGCAGTTCTGTATGCATAAATAAATACATCTTTCTAAAAATCTTAATATTTTAGCAATTCTGATTTTTTAAAAGAAAGAAACCCCTTCTGCTTCCAGAATTTCTGCTTTGCACACAGAAGGCTTGGTTCTTATCTTGCCTTCTCCCGCCTCCCTTTTTGGCAAACTCTACTCCTGAAAAGCATTCTTAACATTTCTGGGTGTTCTCCGGACTGGACAGGCTCCTCTGCCTGGCTGCCCAGGCCCCCTGCCCTGCACCACACGCCGTGGTCCACGCTGGACTTTGATGTCAGACAATATTTCAATGTTGGTGGTATTTTGCTCTTACTCATAACAAGCACTTGAAAAACTCTTAGAGCTCGGTGTGACTCACCCAAAAGGATCCACCCCTCCGGTATCAGGGTTCTTTTCATTTAGAAAAAGAAAACAAAACTTTTCTCAACTCTGTTCAAACTGTCACACTAAGTTTCCAGTGAGTGGGGAGAGGCACCCTAAACATTTGCAATCACTCCAGTTGTCCTCCGCTGGATGGGTCCCTCTGTCTATTTAAATTCTCAGGAGGGCATCACCTTCACCTGGTTTCTTTCTGCTCTGCACCCTTCCTTAATTGCAAATGTTCCTATCTCACCTGTTAAAAGAGTGTTCGAGCTTAGGAGCACCACGCTAACAGTAATCTTGAGCTCTACAAAGTTTTTCTTAGAAAGGCAGGGGGGTTCCAAGTTCCAGAAAAGTAGAATCTCTATTGGGGAATCGTTTTCATGTTGTAAGTTTAGGTCTTAAGTGTCATTGGATCCAGGCTGAGAGGGTCCCACCCTCCTGTGCCGTCCTAATGCTAAGCTCTCACCCTGAAAGGCTTCAGGTGGGAGTCAGCCATGCACCCACTCCAAGAATACATTTTACATTTTGAGCCAGCATAACAGGTTGCTGAAAGACAAGTTTTTAATTATAAAATAATGTTGCTCCTCACCTGGTGCGATGCATTTTGGTGTTGTTTAAACCACTTTGTAATTGCCA